CAGCTCGCAGTGTCCGGCCAGCTCGGAGAGTGCTTTTTGGGTTTCCAGGTCGGCGGATCGGGTAGGACGCATTAAAGACTTTATTTCCCTATTTTCTCCCTGAGTTGTACATTTTCCTTATTGCCTTTTCCCTTGTAAATAAACCTTTTATTAAGCTTTTGTGTATGCCTGTAGTGGAGTATTAATAAGTCCCTTTTAAGCGTGCGGGTGAGGACCCACAGCCAGGCAACCCGTTCAATATCGGGGCTGCCCTATAACAACTAGACTCACAGGTTTCCTGGAGGAAAAATAAGAATCTGGTCAAGTAAATTGGCAAACACAACTACTTTATATCTCCATCCTGAAAAAATGTGAAAATATAACACAGCAGCTGCTTACCAAACCTTTCATGAGTTTTATTTTTGATCAGCACATGGCATACTTCTTTGGAAACAAAATCTTTCAGGAATCTACTCATTTTCTTTGAAACATACTCTGGTAATAGTAGGGTGTATAAAATTCAAAAGATCCCAGCTCTTTAAAACCATACTAAATAATCTACGTAATTAACCTTCTAAAAAACTGTTAGTTCTCAGTAGACACACTTAAAAAGAATGAGACATCAGGGCCTCCCTGGTGGCGCAGGGGTTAAAGTCTCAGCACTATCAAGCTATCACATGAGTTCTATCCCAGGCCAGGGAGCTAACCCACAAGGTGCAGCAAGACCTCTTCGGTATCGCCTGCTGGTTCCCTCAGCAGTGTATTTCGGTACATCTGCCAGTTCTGCTTCCCACTCTGGTGAATCCTCTCAGCCCCCGTACTTCTGGCCTACACCCCCATTCTTTTATGCATAAATAAATAAAAATAAGTCTTTTTAAAAAAGGAGACATCTTTGGATAAATAAGGTGATCAAAACATAAATCATTATTGTGTTTTTCTCTGGTATTAGTGCAAGAGAACCAAGAAACGAGAAAAATTGCACAGTGTACAGTTAGGACACTGATCAGGTGTTATTATGAAGTATGACACACAAACCCAAACGGGAGTTTCAGACTATACATTTATAATAATAAGGTATAGAATGTGCTTGACTAAATCGAAACAATGTCTAATTTAAATGCATACTCCTTAGTAAATTTTATTAAAAGAAAGTACATCTGTGTGTATCTTATTAGCATTTTTACTTGAGCAGTTGACCAGTTTGATCTAAAAAGAGACACTTCAACAGTATTGCAATTCTTCCCATTTTTACTGGACTTCAGCAACTCTCATGTTTTGGGATACAACTTGAGAAGAAACACCCCGTGATTTATCATCAGAAATAGCCAATGCTTCTCCTGGGATTTTCAAAGACACTAGCTTTAAAATAAGGCTTTGTGGGAAAGCGGATGGAAATTTCAGCATGTGTGAGCATTCAAAAGAATGAGTAGGATATTTACTGTAATTAGTGATAACTTGCACCAGCAAAGTATGTCAAGGCTAAGGAGGCTTTAATTATCAGAAATTAATGGACCTTTCACTATCTAAAGTAAAATAGCAAAATCAAATTAAAAGGCATTTGAGGGCCTCCCTGGTGGCGCAGGGGTTAAGTCGCAGCACCATGAAGCTATCCGCAGCCTCTGCAGCACAAGTTCAATCCCCAGCCAGGGATCTAGCCACATGGTGCAGCAGTCCTCTCCTGTCTAGCCTGCTGCTCCCCTCAGCAGTGTATTTCAGTAGATCTGCCTGTTCTGTTCCCCATTCAGTCTCTGGTGAATCCTCCCCCCACCAACACCTCTGGCCTTTACCCTAGCTATTGTATGAATAAATAAATAAATCTTAAAAAAAAAAAAAAAGCATTTGACTCTAAAATATGAGAAGTTTAATGTGGATAAAACTCTAGGCTTAATATATTCAGAACTTTACAGAATTACATCACATGAAATAAATACATACCACTGCCTTGTCTCTGAAGAATATTTTAATACCAGTCCAAAATTATTTTTAACCAAGAGTACAGGAAGCTAGGTAACATACAATTAATAATATAACTTGCACACAGAAGATATTTAAATTCAGTAAGAAAAAGTCAGAGAGCAGTCAAAGCAGTTTGCAAATCTGAAAAATCACTTAAGTTAAATGTTTGACATAATGGACTTCAATCATTCCAGAACTTTAACTTCCATAATCTTAAAAAGTATGTTTAACACTTAATTTGTAAGCTGCTATGATTTCAGACCTATGATTTCCTTCATATAACATTATAATTCACTTAACAAGTATTTATTTATTTGTTTGTTTATTTATTTATTTTTTTGTGGGACCCTCATCGCTCCCAACGGCACTGCAGAGGCTTCCCGCAGCGCTCAACCACTGCGCCACCAGGGGAGGCCCCTTAACAAGTATTTATTGGGTATTACTAAGGAAAAGCAAAGATTAAAATCCATAAACCTGCCCTAAAGCATCTAAAAGAATAAGCAAAACAGAATAACAAAAAGTCTAGTAGAGATGAGACATACACAAATGGTAGAAAATGGTAAAAATAGTAAATACAATCTAGTTAAAATGTGAAGATTGTTCAGTGGTATATTATCTGCAGTTTGGTGGGGTAAAAAGGGGGGTACCTTAATAATGGATTTAAAGGGCGGTAGACTTTAGATGAACTACACTTTCCACTGGATAAAGAAGGGAAAAACATGAATGGTGGAAAATTACAATGAAAATAATTAATTTTGCAGAAGTGGAAAAAATACAAAAATTAAATGATAATGGGGTGGTTGAGACTCCGATGTCAACTAGAATATCCAGGCCAGATCAAATTACTAATTAAAACATCTAATATTGTAGTACATACTCTACTGATGCTCTATAAATACTTTTAAATTAGTGAGCCATGACCCCATGCGTGCTATACTTCCTGATGGAATGAAATGGTGAAAGAAACTCTTCTCTATAATTCAAGGTAAACTATTAACTCTTTTCAGAAACAAATCACTTCTCCAATTTTGAGTGCACACGCTCAAAGTTAGGGGAGAGTAAGGATCCTTACTTTCCTTGCAGTTTATATATACAAATACACAAGTGATACTTAAACTTCATTTTCAAATATGAAATAAAGTTCCATTCACTATGGTAAGATCAAAGTGTTCAAGTGTCAGCTCTGTAATATTGTACAAATTGCTTTAGTGCTCTGAGTGTGTTTCCTAACTTGTAAAATGAGGGGGTTTGCTAGAATGATCTGAAATGGGTCTTCTGGCTTGAATATTCTATACTTAACAAAATTTACACCATCTTTTCTATAGAAGTTGTTGTGACAATTTGTTGTAAAAGCAAAAGTATTCACTCCTAAAAATTATCCTTTTTTGTGCACCTACTAAGTTAAATACCAGGCTCTTTCTGTAATTTCATTTCTCATTAAACACTTAAGTGATGGCGTTTTCTTTGTTTTACTCATAGGGTATTAGCAATCTCTCCTGTCCAATCCCATTTCACTAAGGAAGGCAAGGGCACAAGGCCTAACTCCCCCCAAAGCTCTGATAACATGCTTTAAAACATGGTGTGTTAAAAAAATCAGAGAGATAAAATAAATAAAAGCAGAAGATGTAGGCTTTGAGTGTAGTAAGCTAACAGGGTAGCTCAGCCCTAGGAATGGACAAGAAAAATCAAGTATCAGTTGTATGTAAGTGAAATCTTCTTTTCAAACGAAAGAAAACAGATTTCACCATCTTTCAACTTCTGCTTTAAAGAGTTCTAACCCAAATCTGCAGTATTTTTAATAATGTTATAGAAATTCCCGAAATTCCTTGATAAATATTAAAGCATGGATATGAGTAATAAACCCAGGACTCAGGAGTCAGGCAAACCTTGGTTGAACCCTGGTTTTATTACTAGTGTGACCTTGTTGAATTCATCTAAGTCTCATTTCTTCATGAGTAAAATGAGGATACCATCAGTCTTTCAGGAAAATTGGGGCTTAAAGGAGAATTTGGACTAAAAAAGACCCCCCAAAGGTAAGGGCTTGACAAATGAAAGCTTTTACCTTTGGGGATACCAGCAACATAGAAGATAGGACCTAAGTCATCCCAATTATGTCCAAGAATGCTATCCAAAGTTTACATTTAAAATGCCATACTTTGACATCTTTCTGTTGGTCTAAATTTCATCTCACATATAGTTTTATTTAAAAAAATATCATACACTCCTTTCCAACAGAGACAAACCAAGCTTCAAATTAAGTTTATCCTAAACCTAGAATTGAAGCAACTATCAAATACCGTTTTCGGTGTCTATTTCTGAAAATGACGATGCAAATCATATTACCATCAGTTCAGAAGCACTGGCTTCTCTGAATGGGAGGCACAGAAGGGAAAACCGGGGCTGGGTTCCCGAAGCGATTTGAGCGCGAAAGATTCCGACAGCGTCCAAGCGAGTATTTCACAAATGCCACATACTTGGGTGAGCCCGAAAAACCGGGTGTGAACTAAAAACACTTGCCAATATGACCCTCCCTCCAGTTGAAGAGACAGGAGCAGGTGGCTTTGTGCCCCCAAATTATTGTTTTATTCTTAGCTACAAGCTCTGGTCAACAGCTGGGTTTTAAACCTCGCAGCCTCCAGAGCCGCACTCCATACTGCGAGGGAGGAGCAGGACTGCAGGTTCCTCCCGGCCAGTGGAAGCACACGCGGAGGGGAAGGAGGGAGGGCTCCGTGGCCCCAAGGGGCGCGGCGGACAGGTCACAACCTCCACCCGGGGACTGATCCCTTCCCGAGAGATACCACCCGCGCGCGGGCCACCCACCCTCCTCGTCCGGCCTGCGGAGACTCGGGGGGCGGTTGCTGTCAGCCCGACCAAGCCGCCACGGTGGGGGCTGCGCCGGGGGCGTGAGAGGGGAACCCAAAGGTTTCAGGAGAGGAAAGGGGGAGGCGTCATGTGGACCCCCCAGCCCACGGTAGGGCGCGGGAGGTGACCTCCGGGCCCCCGAGTTCTTCGTTCCCGTTTCTGCCCGGACCCTTCCCAAGTCGCGGACCCGCCGCTCCTCTCACCGTCTCGGCTTCTGTGTGTTGGGGTCCGGCACTCTGACCCCCCATTACCCCGCGGAGAAAATTCATGTTGTCGCTCTGCCACAGGCTCTACCAGCCCTCTTCAGGAAAAAAAACAGACGATTTCCCCTGCCCTCCGCGGGGCCTGGTCCCCAATCCCGCACTATACACCCCCCGGCAGCGGCCACCACCGCCTTCCACTCGGCGGCCGCTCCAGCCCCCCAAAGCCCGGAAACAGCCGCCACCAACAGAGGAGGTGCGCATGCGCGGGGACGTGGCATTACGTGGCGGCTCTGAGGGCGAAGGCAAAGGGGGAAGGTAGGCGAGGGGAGGCTTGTAACCCGGGTCCAGCCAAGCCCCGCCCACTGCCCAGGCCCCGCCCCCACACGGCGACACGCCTCCCACTCCCGCCCTTCGCGGGTGGCGCTTGCTGGCCCCATACACCCACGTGGTCGGCGCCGGGCCTTGCCGGCTGGAGCGTGTCGGCACCGCACCGTGTTGGTGTTTTGGCTCGCAGGGTGTTTCATTGTCGCGGTGCGGGACTTACTGCGAACTATCCAATCTGGGGTCGTATTTGGTTGAGTCGAAAGTGAAATTTTCCTTCGGCCTACTTGACAGGTAGGGAGACCGGGATCCTGGGAGGGTTGGTTTGGTTTTGCCGTTTAGCAGTACGTTGTGGCCTGAACCCCGTACATTGCATTTCTTTACAGGTCTTTGTTTGGTGGTAAAAAGGGTGCTAGAGCCCCCTCGTTCTACTGCCACTGGAGGGCGCGTATCTCGTTTCTTGCTCTTCAAACCTGCTCTAAGGAATTCCTAGATCTAAACACCAGGTACGCCACTGTTTTCTAGCGGTGTGAGGGTACGAGTCCAACCCTGCATTTAACTAGAGAAAAAACATGGATCTGCCGTGTCATTTTAGCAGCTGGTGGTATGATGTTTTGTTATTAACGCTCTACCCCCGTATCTTTAGTACTTTTTTTTTTAACATGAAAAAATGTCTTTTTCCCCAAATCAGTAGGCCTTGCTCTATTCTAAATGAGACTGCCAAGAACACATGCATCTGGAGTAGTCATGAATTCTTGAGGCTACAAAGCGCAACAACTAGTTAACTAACTAATTCATATACCTCTCCACCTGGATGTGCCACACCTCCCAGAGTCAATATTTAAAATTGAACTCATCTTCCCCGACCTCCTTTAAAGAAAAAAAAAAAATCAATATACCTCTGTGTGTCCTGCCACATTCGATAGCACTACTCAAATAATTGCCTACCTTAGGAGAAGGAAAGTTGGAGGAATCTTAGACTCTAGATTTCTCCCTCAAATGTCCAGTATCCAATCCTATCATTTCTATATATGGAACATTTCTCAAATAGGTCGTCTGCTCTCCATCCTCTTTGCCTCTGACATAGTTTATGTTCTCATTATTTTTCACCAAGATTGCTACAATCACTTTCTAACTATCTTGTCTACATTCAAGCCCTGGCTTCCCTCCATTTGAGTTTTCAGTCCACCTTTGGGTGAACCTAACCATAACAAAACATCCATTCATGTTGCTCCTCTTCTTAAAGTCCTTCAGTGGTTGCCCATTCTCTCCATAATAAAATCCAAAGTCCTTAACTTGGTATACAGGCATGTTATTTTCTGGCTTTGCCTATCTTTCCAGCTCTTGCCTCTCCACATTTTCTGTCTTTATGCCCTAATGCACCCTTTTCCCTCCTCTTCATTAGGGAAACATGCCTGCTAGTTCCTTAAGATTTAACTCTGGCATCATCTGAAAGCTTTCCCAGAAATCCATATACATGTGTATGTGCTAGCACTTTATGGTAAGCCCTCAATAAATGCTTCTTAAGCCAAACCGTAGAGGGCAGGACTACATAATTTACTTTTGTATCTCTGAGGCTGAGCCCTGTCTAATAAAAGATGATATGAAGAAAACATTAAAAAAATGAATATTATGCCAAGGAAAGTCCTTTTTTCCATCTGTTAAGTGGAATTATAGATGTCAAATATCACAAATGCTATGGAGAATATTCCTTTCCTAGTGCCAAAGTTTTTTAAACCTGGTAGATTTGGAGAATGGGGAGAGTAAAAAAATAGTATGCACTAAGCATTATCTTTAAAACTAGACATTAAGGGGGCTCTCTTGTGGAGCAAGGGGTTAAGTCTCAGAACTATGAAGCTATTCATAACCTCTGCAGCACTTCCATCCCTGGCCAGGGAGGTGACCCACATGGAGCAGCAGACCTCTCCTGTCTTGCCGGCTGCTCCCCTCAGCAGTATATTTCAGTAGATCCGCCTGTTCTGTTCCCCACTCTGTCTCTGGTGAATCCTCTCACATACATATCCGCCCCTCCCCTCCCCCGGCCTATACCATAGCTCTTGTATGAATAAATAAATAAATAAATAAATCTTTAAAAAAGCTGGACATTAAATACTTTGCATCAGACATTTGCTATGGGGCATTTTGTTAAAGTGTAAAAAAAGTAACCAATAAATGTTTAGCATTTTTATTACCAAAGTATGTGTGTATGTGTGCATCATCCAGTGAACATCACCCAGTCCCTATACCTCACCCTTCCCTAACCCTTTCCTTAGTGCCGTCTAGTGCCCCACTCTATCCATCATCAGGAATGAGACTCTGAGATGAAGTACAGCTCTTACATGTCTACTATATGTATTATTTGGTAATAAAAAGAAGTAGCATCTTGACACTTAAGGCACCAGCCTTGACAAAATACTCTGCTCCTTTAAATTTTGGTAAGACTAGGTCACTAGTAGAATACTATGAGTTTTCCTTTAATTTGACCTATTTTCTTCCCTAACAGCATTCCTGGGCAAGAAGAACTATGAGCAAGATAGTTGGGTGCAGAGGAGATGAGGTTGAAACCCCCAGACCTCCCCCTGACCTCACAATATTGGCTCTGTCCTGGTGTCTCAGGTGGGGTGGAGATGCACGCTACTTCCAGTCTTAAGAAAAGGCAGAAAGGGGGCAGTGGCTCATTTGTCTCCCAGCCAGGGTCTGAAAGGGAGCAGAGGCATTATCACTACAGAACAGCCACCAATTCTGGATTCTGTGCTTTCTTTGTTTTTTTTTCTCTCTGACTCCATACAAGGACAACATGACTGTCAATACCTGTAGTCCCATTATCTCCCAAGCCCAAGTTCAAGTAAGATTCCTAACCTTATAGTCCTAACAAAAATCTCCTACTGATGCATTGGATCTGATTGGGTCATGTGTCCTTGTGTAATTCTTGCAGTCCAATGTGTGAGGTGCTCTGATTGGCCTTGATTCACATCTGCCACCCTCCTCCCCAAACCAGCAGTCGGAGTCTTCCGCTCATCTCAAATGTATGGGAGAACAGGGGAATAGGGACTTTCTTCAAAGGAAAGCTGAAATACTATACCAGAAGAGAATGTATCAGGATAGGGAAAACAATAGATGCTCACTGTATACTCTAATGTATTTGATTCCTTCCCCCCCGCCCTTTTTTTTCCCCAGTATTTTTCTAGACTTGTCACTAGCATATCACTAGCAGTTCTGTTGGTCTGCAGAAGGTTCCATAAATTTTTGTATTATTCAGTAAAAGTAACTGCATTGCTTTATATTTATATCTGTAAGCAAAGCTGTAGCTACACTTTTTTTAAACTGTAGTCCAGGTGCATTTTCACTTTTAAAGAAACAAAATAAATGGAATTGCTTACTTCCAAAACTAAATTAGGAAATCCCATTTTCAGTCCAAAGGATGTTTTATAAAACTATTTATTGAGGGGCAAATTGATCAGATCTAGATCTTGGCACTCTTGGCCCCTGTGGGGAATTTGACTGTCACCTCTCCGCACTTACTACCCTCCCTCCCAGCTCCCCTCGCTGATCAGGTAGGTCCTGAATAACTAGAACAGGGTTGAAGTTTTTACTGTCCCATTCCATAACTACTCTAAATCCTTTGAAGTTCACATTACTGACTGATGCCAAGATTCCATGGAAGCTTAAGATTTATTATGGAGTCACTGCCACCTTCACCAGCAAGCAAGCCTTGATCCCAGTGCAAGTTGCAGCCCATCTATCTCATTTGCCTGAGTCTGTGACCCAAGTGAGGACGTGTGAGAGGAGAGGGAGGCAGGGGACTTTGTAGCCTATCTCCAGAGATCAGAATACATCAAGCTGTAAACCAGCATGGTGGTAGCTGACCTGGACTAGAACTTTTCAAAGCCAACCTACACCTCCAAAGTGCTCTCTCCCCATTCCAGCACTTTAATGAAGATGACTATATGGAACTCATGGCCTGTGAGTTGGGAGTGGACATAATTCTTTGCGAGCAGCTCAGGAATCTGTGGGCAGTGGAGTAGAAGATGAAAAGATCAGGAGCACAGGGGCAAAGTAGAGAAGTCTCTTTGGCTGATTCTTCCTTGATACTGCCTTGCCTAGGATTTCACAAACACTACACTGGTTGTAGGTAGTAGAAAGGGCCAGAACTCCAACCTGCTCTCCCTACTGCCCTCTCTCGACCTCCAGTATCCCCATACTACATGGCCTTGCCAGGGCAGGACCGTAGTTTTATGAGATCCAGAGTGACCCAGACCTAACTCTAGACCTAAGACCTAAAACTTCTCCCTCTCTGAAAAGTCTGTGAATTATGACTCCTAAATAGCTCAGAACCCAAGGTCTCAATAGATCACTCCAGCAGCCAGTCTTCTTCCTGTGAGGCCACTGCATAGGTCTGGTTCTAGTATCTAGGTCAGAACAAAATATCTCTACTTGTATTTTGCTATTTATTACATGGTGTAATAAATAATAAGATTCTTGTTTTTTAAAAGTTCAAAATTCATGCCATTTAAAACAAATCAACGAAACTACATATTTAACATCATCTTAATAAAAATTTATGGTCCTGTCCTGTTGTGTCCTTCAACTTTAGAAGATCCCTAGGACACTACTGATGGGTTTACCAGGCCCACATTCAGTGTCTTCCTACAGCTTTCGTTCTTCTGCCTGGAGTTTTTTTTTTTTTTTTTTTTAGAGGCATGTTTTTCTTTATTTATTTGTTTGCTTGTTTTGTTTTTTGTTTATACATGCACTGGGTACAGTCAGAAGCGCGGGAGGGTGAGAGAATTCGCCAGAGCGAGGGGCAGAGCAGGCAGAAGGACCGAAGTACACTGCTGAGGGGAGCAGCGGGCGGCAGGAGAGGTCTGCGCGCCATGTGGGACCCTCCTCCTGTGGCCGGGGAGCAGCCGGGGATTGAACCGGCACCGCAGAGGCCGCGGGCAGCTTCGCAACCCAGCGCTCTACCGCTGCGCCACCGGGGAGGCCCTCTGCCTGGAGTTTTTAAAACCTCAGTTACTCCAGGTAACTGCTCAGCTCTGGCCAGAGGTGAGGACTCCCTGTTTTTTATTTTTCCTTGCCAAACTGGGAAAGATGGTTCTTCGTGAGGGCTAACTTCTACTTTCCCCAAAATGAACCACTTAGTTCATAGAGCTTTTTCAGTGGGGTTTGTACTCAGCGCCTCCCTCCTTTGGGGGTTAGGGGGGAACTAAGGTTGCAGGAGCTGAGTGATGAAGAGAGGGTTAGAAGGGCTTTTGGGAAGTAGAGAAGAGGCCCAGAAGGGGAAGGGGAAAGAGTGGTGAGAGAAATCCAAGAAGCTGAATGAAACTGCTGACTAATATCTGCAGCCTGAGTATTCCACCTACATAAATACAGTTTTGCTTTTTTTTTTTAACCACCTAAAAATAGCTCAGAATAGCCTAATACTGGAAACAGATGTGCTGGGATTCTTGCACTACTGAGTCAGCAAACATTTAAGTCTCTGCCCTGTGATAGGTGTTCTCATGTA